ATGTAGAGTCTATATCAGATTGAACACCATCTTGGGGAAGGGGAAAAGGAGGGAGAAGAAAATTTAAAACTCAAAATCTTATGGAAGTGAATGCTGAAAACTAAAAATAAATAAATTCATTTTAAAAAAACTTATCATCTCTGGCCCAGATTTCTTTAGTGTGTACTTAGGCTGGTCCCACTTCTCACTGCTCTTCCCAACTTCATCTACTTAATCTACTTCATCTACTTTCTACTTTTTTTTTTTTAGTGAGGAAATTGGGGTTAAGTGATTTGCCCAGAGTCACACAGCTAGGAAGTATTGTGTCTGAGGCCAGATTTGAACTCAGGTCCTCCTGACTCCAGGGCTGGTGCTCTATCCATTGAACCACCTAGCTGCCCCCTACTTTCTACTTTCTTGTAAGCTACGTTAAGAACTAAGGTGTTCTGATAGTTTCACTGTAACTGCTGAGAAAACAGATTGTTTTAGAAACACTGACAACTTTGCTCCATTTATTGTTCTCCTGCCAGTTTCATCTATGAATGCTCTTCCAACGATGTGGCTCAGTTGGATTTCAAGCCAACTTTTCTGTGAATCTGTTTTTGTTTTCACTGTTTTTTGCTGTTCACAAGAAGATAATGCTTATAATCTTCTACCACCTACTTCTACAGTGTTTTACAAATAAGTTTGTAAAATCTGATGTTGATTTTGCCCTTTATTCTAATTAGCTGATGATATAATTGAATATAGAAGACTTATTTTTTATATGGCTTGTATATCAGTAACTCATCATTTTCTATCTGTTAAGATGGAGTCAGTTTCACTTTTGCTATGTTGCTTGGGGTTCATAAGGTCCAGCACCTCCCAAGTCTCTTTGAGAAGAAAGAATTAATTAGACAAAGTTATGAAGCCTCTAAGTAGTTCTATAATCCTTTGGCCTCTTATTTTTTTTTCCAAACCTCTACCATGTTTTCCAACATACCTTTCACCATTCTCTCCTGTGCCTACCTTCATATTAACGTCTCTGAGTATCAAAGTATATATTGGCTTAATTTACTAAGCTCTTAAGTGATCTTATCAAGTTCTTCATAGATTTCTCTTTGCCTTCACCCTTCGCAACAGATGTCACTACACAAAAATATCACATTTAAAGTACCTCCAGTTAAGACATTTACAAGCAGTCTTAAAAATTATGTGATTCTCAGCACTCTGCTTTCTTTTCCACCATTCCACCCCTTTCCCACAGGAGCACAAGAAAGCCACACATGACTGAGGTTCATTTCTTATTTTGTTTCATGTACTGTCAGGTCCAAAGAAGTCATCACCTTGAGATCAGCCTTCAAGTGACAAGCCTCTGTGCACAAAGTCACATTAATCCTCAAATACTCAGATTCTTTCTGTACCTAAAACCTTTCCAACATAATAGACGCTGACAAAAGCTAAAAAGGACCTTAAAGATTATCTAGTCCAGCTTCTCTCACTTTTCAGAAGAAACTGAGGCCAAAGGATATAAATCAACTTGTCCAACATCACACACAACTTAGTGGTAGATTTGGGATTTCCTAGACCAGTGCCCTGGACTGTCCATTATACTCCTCACCTAACAATGAGCTGATCTGGCTAGGAGATCTGGGATTCCTGTCCCACTCCAATCCCCAGTTCCAGAGTGAATGTGAATGAACCATCAAACAATCACAGTCTGCTCCTAGCAATAAGAGTTAAGGTCCAGGAGCTTTTGCTTCAGCCACTAGCAAAAGCATCAATAAATTATTTCCATTCTTCTATGATACTTAGAATTATTCCCAAGGCAAGGATTGTATTTCATTTTCCAGGCAAGCCAGGGAAAGGAAGTAACCTAGCTGTGGCCACCAAGTTGTCAGCTAATGGCCAAACCAGAACTAGAACTCAGGAGTCCTCATCTCAGTTGCAATTCAACATATAGATAGTTTCTTCCCCAATACTTGAATCCTATTTATTATTTTGCAGCTAATTAGGTACCTTATTCTCAGGAGGGAATCATATCATGGTGAGCTGGATGTTGACAGTCTCCTAAAGAGATTTATGTGGTTAAGGGCGGTTGGGGGGGAAATGTCTCTGAGCAATGGGATCTTACTCTGGAGCTCTTCAGCAACTGCCCCACCTCTTCTATCTCACGTCAATGGGGCCAGCTTCCCTGCCACACAATGACAAGCCACAAGACAAGCACTGCATTAGTCACCACCACAGCACAAAGAACCTATTTTGCTCAAGGGAGAAGACAACTTTTCTCTTGCTTTGTTCAACTTCCAACCAAGATCCTTTTCCCTTCCTGGTAGAATGTAAGCTCCTTGAAGGAAAAGACTCCTTCATCCCAGGGCCTAGCATGGGGCCTTGTACATAATTGGTATTTGAATTTCTGATGAACTGAATTTGCTACTCAAAACTTTTTAATCTCTTCATTTCAAAATATATACCTTACTCCTCCTACACCTAGCAAAAATTCACTTCTCTTAGATTCAGACCCACAGTGGCACCATCTTAGAAGGAAGTGGCCCAAAGGCAGACAATGGCTACTATTACCAATTTTCATGCCCTGTGAGCCAAGGGAGTTTTTCTTGTGGAACTGAACCAAATCAAACTGGACCCTTCCCATTTGGTCTCCTATGGGGTTTGAGTTCAAAAGCTGGTTCCTGCCCTCACTGATTGGGTCTTTGAACAGATGGTGACAGAAGAAGAAAAAGAATAGAACAATACCAGCTGATAGCAGACTAGAGATCAACTCTGTATTGACCTAACACCTTTCACTCATAAGTTGGAAAAGATTTTCCAACTGTTATCTAGAAAGAAGTACGTGGGAGAGGAAAAGACAAGTAACAGCGACAGACAAGACAAAGGCAGCTCTGAAGAAGGACAAAGGTCATTCTGAGAAGCCTTCAACATTTCAAACCCAGAAGTTAGGCACTCTGCTCATTCTATGGGGTTTATCTCCAAATTCCAGGTACTTTCTACTGTATCTAAGAACTCCCTTCCCAAAGCAATATAAGGAAAGGCCAACTTTCTCTCCCAAAGACACAAGAGGCTATAAGTCAATGACCCCTGCTGGAATCCCTGGACCTAAGCTCAGCCAAATTCTCCACCATATAAGAACTGATATCTTAGACTTCCTAGAAAAACCAATTATTTTCAGAACACAGCAAACAAGTCCAAATTTGTCCCGCTGGCTCCAGCTCAGTAAGTAACATGATGCCAGAAGGCCCTAGTTCTATTTCTATGGTGGGGAACAGACAGCACAATTTTAAAAGATCCTCAGCTAGCAGCCAAACACCCAGGAAAACCAAAAGATAATCACTGTCTTAAAAGTGCTTGTCAAACAATCTCTTTGCAGAGATGATGTGATTTCCCAGCACGATATATCACAACAGGACTTCGCACTTGAGGTAAGAGGCAGCATGCCGTAATAGAGAGAATGCAAGACTAGAAGTCAGAAAGACTAACTGGAAAACGAGCAGATAGATTTGTGCTCTGCTTCCTGACTTCCTGAAGTTAGCCAGAAGGGGCTTGATAGTCACTGTAATGCCTAACCAACTGGAGGCCTGGATAAGGGACCACATGGTTAACAACCTTCTCTGTCAAGTTCTTGTCAGCAGTGCATGCACGCACACACACGCACACACACCTGCTCATATTAAGCACAAAGAAGAATCTGAGCTTAGTGTCACACTCTGGTTCAGAGGGCTCCAGGTTCTGCTCTCTTACTTCCTCCCTGTTTCAGGAGATCAGAATAACCTTGAGAAGAACCAAACTCCTCTTCACCAGTATGGAAAGGACCCATATTTTCTTGAGTTGGGAATGAAGTCTGCTGAGTAAGCAGGAAAAAGAGCCAAGTATCCATCAGGGTCCCTTGACATCCCCTAGCCAAAAGCAAACCTCATTAGGGGTTGCTCCTCAGAATCTAGACAGTTATGGGGAAATCTGAGGTCAAGCTCTGTGTACTGTTTTCATCAAAGAACCTAGTAAAGTCAGAGCTTGAAGGGACCTTAGTGATCACCTAGCCCAACCTCCGCAATAGAAAAACTGAAGCCCAGAGAGATTATAGCAGCTTCTAAAAGGCCATATTGCTTCTTAGCAACAGAGTCAGAACTAAACCCAGGTGTCTCCCTCCTACTCCTGTGCTTCATCCACAACACAGTACCTTGCCATGTCATGACCTGGAGAGTCATGGGAGTTCATCTGGAAGCCATTAATTTGACCAGTTCCCTGAAGCAGCCTCTAGTCCTAGGATCTGCCCGACACTCTTTGTTCTTGCTCTGTGCTTGTTTGCATGGAACCACAAAGACCCTGACACTTCCCAGAGGGACCTGCACACTCAACAATGGCCAGGCAAATGACACTTGGGAAATCAACAATTCCAGAGACTGGACTTGAAGATACTAATTGGGAGTGACTCCAGGCTTCCCGGGAGCAGCTGGCTCAACAAACCAGTGCTAAATCCAAGACTTCAATCACTCCAGCATTGTCCTGGTTCTCTCCTCACTACACACAGCAGAGATGCAAAGTGATTTATATTGTAGAGCACAACAGCACCCAAAGATAGTAAAAGAGCTATCTTATATGAAGGAGAGTAAATGCCTTCAGTCTGCAATATTTCAAACCTTGAAGATGCAACCTCTTGGGAGGCTCACCCTTGGTGTCATCTTAACTGCTGTTCCAAGAAAGGGTTGAGGTGGAAGCCTACTCTGTTTAAGGAGAAAGAACCATATGTCTTTGGAGATGTCTGTTTCAATATGATTGGGAGAATTCACAAAGAAACAACAGAAATCTAGTAACTGTGATTGGACAAGGTGTGAAGATTAAGTTATTCTAAATGTTTTTGTTACCTTCATTCACCCAGACCCTATTAGAGTTGGTTGGTGCATTAGAAGTTGGTGTAAGAGAAGGGAAGGTCCCAGATGTTTTTCCTCTCCACACCATAATGATTTGGATCATAAGAATCATAGGGGGATCAGAACCTTCATGGTAGTAGAAACTGGCAGAAAACATACCCTCTGGGATGCTGTCCTCTTGATACAAGGGCCTCAGAAGCTATAGCAAAAAAAAACAAAACAAAGCACAGAACCATCAGCTTAACTACTGAAGCAATTCCTCTTGGGTCTACTTTTCCTTTATTCTAACATCTTTTCTATCCCTTCTCTCCTCTCTCCCCCCAGCCCTCAACATCACCTTCTCTGGCCTACTGCAATCATTTTTCACAGGTGGTCTGAACCCCCAGTTTTCTTTCCACCCACCCCAACCCTGACTACCCCCTTCTCTTCTTCATAACACTGCCAGGAAATCTTTCTTATGCGTAGGATCATGGCACTTTTCGGCTTTAAAAAAGAAAAAAGGCTTCAGGGACTATTGTTAGCTGAGTAAAATTCAAACTCTTTAGCCAGACATCCAAGACCCTACATCATTTGTCCCCCACCTTGCTGCCTTTCCAACATTCTCTCATATTATTCCCTTCCAAGTACTATAAGATAGAGCTAGACACTACTGTCCCTTCAACATTCTCCGACCCTCCAGCATCCATGCCTTGGTTCACACTTTCCCCCTCCTCACCTACTGAATTCCAACCCATCCTTTTAAGCACAAACCCCATGCTATCACATCTAGGTGGACTTTCTTGATGCTTTCAGTCAGTAAAGACCTTCCTTCATAGACCCTACATAGCACTTTGCATTGTACTTGTCTAACTCACTTATCATGTAATATGTATTCTAATTATCTATGTTTGTATTTAAATTTCACAAGAATAGGAACCCAAGTCTTTTCTAAACTAGGACTTAACACAATTATCTGCACACAATAGGCACTTAATAAATGTCTGTGGAATGAATTAATGAATGAAGAGAGAAATGGCAAGGGTCTTGAGAGGAGATTCTCTAGCCTAGGGTAAAAGCTTCAAAGAAAAAAAGACACCCCACTAAAATAAAGAGAAGTGAGATAAGTCAAATAATCATGAGTTGGGATGTCAGGTAGATCTCATTACATAACCACAGAACAGGGAAAGAACACTGACCCCGAAACAGAAGACCAGGGTTTAAATCTTGCCTCTAGGTACCTATGTGGCCTGGAGCAAGTCACTTATACATCCTGAGCCTCAATTTCCTGCATGTAAGATGAGGAATTAGTCTAGACACCTTCTGGGGCCCCTTCCAGCTCTAGATCTATCCCATAACCTTCCACAAACTCTGCAGCTGTGCTATTTTCTGGGACATAACAACCCCAGCAGGTAAAAGACACATGTCTTCAGACAGTTCCTCCCACCCTCATAATCACAGTAGCAGAGCACAAATTCTTACCTGGCTTCCAGGGTTCAAAGGAGCCAAGATGATGTAGTTGGGGTCAGTGGGAGCTGAAGCCCGGGACAACGGTGGCAAAGTGTGCTGGGTCCGTTTCCCCACTTCACTATAGCGCTCCCAGCCACCCACAAGTAGCCCATCAGAGCTGTCACACACCAGGTGACAGCTGCGGCGCTGCTCAGGCCTGGTACCCAGGATACTGTTCTTTTCCCGTTTATTTGGGGGTGACTGGAGGTCATGAGCTGACTTGCAGGAGGCCCTGCGTAGGACACCACCATCAGGCCCAGGTTTGATCTGAGGGATGATGCGCCACACTAGCAAGATGATCTCACCAGGGCAGTTCCTAAAAGAGTAGTTAAGGAGACAAGGGAGAGAGAGAAGATGCCAATTCGCTTTGGAGAGATTCGCTGATAAGCCAAATGGAGGTGCAGAAGCATTTGAGGGCACAGTAGAAGGTAGTGGGGTTGGGAAGATATGACAACTTGAGAAAGCATAAAGGGTTCAGCAAAGGATAGGTTCTGTGAACCTGGGAAGGCACAGACAGTCAAGTGCTTGGGGCCCTATTCCCTTGCCCCCCAGTCACCTGATCTCATGTGCCAGTTCCACACATTTCCAGTGTTCCACAGGCTGCTCGTTCAACTGTAGCACCGTGTCTAGCTGCTGCAGTCCTGCCCGCTCTGCGGGGCCGCCTGCAGGAGAGACCACCATCACTCAGTTACCTCAAGGAAACTATCATAAGCCCCACATCACTCTGGTCTCCAGGCACAGGACCAAGCCAGGTCTGACAAATACATGGATGGCCTGCGGCAAGTCACTTAAGCACTCTGACGTTTCCTGCATGTAAAATGAGGAATGGTCACGATGCCCTCTATGATTCCTTCCAGCTCTAGATCCCCGCGCTATCCTATCACCTCACCCAAACTCAGTGTATGACCCAAGTTTCTCCTCTCCCTTCTCTAGGACTGTCAGGTAAAGCCAAGTGTCTACCATCAATGTCACTCAACACTAACTTGGACTCCCTCACTCCCCAACCATCCCTGTCTCTCTAGGCACCCTCATTTCCCTGTGACCTCCCCCTCTCCCTAACTCCTTCTCACAGATGCCCTGACATCTCTACCTTATTGCCTGCTTTCCCCACTTATTTCCTCAGAGAAAAGGGAACAATTGTACAGGGAAAGAGGACAGGTCTGGCTTTACCAACAACTTGCTGTGGAATCCCAGGCAAGTTATTTAACCTCTCTGGGCCCTGTTTTCCTCTTATAAAATGAAGATGCTAAGCTAGATGGTCGCTGAAGTACCTTCAAGCTCTAACATTCTCTAATTCATCCATTCACCTCTGTGTTCATTAGAGACTGTAAACAAATTGAATTTTGATGATGTTAAATTCTGAGAATATTTATTTATTTATTTTGCTTTTTGGTGAGGCAATCAGAGTCAAGTGACTTGCCCAAGGTCACACAGCTAGTAAGTGTCATGTGTCTGAGACCGGATTTGAACTCAGGTCCTCCTGACTCCAAGGCCAGAGCTCTATCTACTGCACCACCGAGCTGCCCCCTGCGAATATTTTTAATAAACTAAATAGGTTTAGTTTTGATTTAAACTGGTTATTGATTTTTTTCTAAGAAAAAAGTTTTCAGTTTTGTGTGCAGTTCATTTTTTTAGTTAATATTTGGTTCAGGGTTTTAAAAATCAGTACAATATTTTAGTTTTTGTTTCACTATTCAAGCCCCTGTCTGCAACCTATATAAGGCAACAAATCCATGGAGCAGAAAGCTTGGACCTAAAAGCTTAGAACCAAAAAGCTGCATCAGAATCAATCATTTACTTACCAGAATCTACTGCTTGAACTCGAACAGGAGAGTCACAGCAGATGGTGAAACCAAAGCCGTCCCTTCCCCTTGGGATGGTGATCTACAACATATGCCCATAGCCAGTTATTGCCAGAAGCCTTAAGGGAAGGCTCCCTTAATTTCATTCCCTGGGAAAAGGGGATCAAGGAGCTTACAGTCCCTAGACAAGCTAAAGAGCAGCCCCAGCTTTATAGAGAGAGGGTTTTGAATGCCAGACAAAGTTGTACAATGTCAGGGAGAACTCAATTTGCCAACCAGCTCTCAGCCTGTGGGATCTCCCAATATTCCTACAAGTTGTACAAAGCAACTAGTAAATTCTCCAGGCTCACAAATTGCAGCACTTGGCTAACACTTCGGAACATGGTTTACAGGTCAAGAGAACCACAATTTGGTTGGCAGGACACAAGCTAGGAGACCAACTATCCCTCCCTACCTGCAGCAATATATCCTGCCCCTTCTATCCTCTTTCCATAACCCAGGTTCTTTGACAGAGTGAGGGAGCTAACCTCCTTAACTCTGCCTCCCTGCCCAGAAACCCCGGTCATGGACTGGAGCTCAAAATGCTAACAAAGACTTAAATGGCATCCCTTACAAGGAGGCCTCACCAACGAGAAAGTGTGTGTCAACACACAAAGGGAGCCAATACAAAAAATCTTTATTGAACACCCCTTTATGTGCCTGCCTCTATGCTAAGTACTTTAGGAGGTATAAAAGAAGTAAATACAGTTCTTGGTCTCAGAAAGCTTAAAACCTAGCTGTGGAAACAAACACACACACACACACACACACACACACACACACACACACACACATACACGTGCATATACACACACTAACTTCCTTCATTTCCCACCCAGTTGTACTACATTTCTCCCTACAGCCCTCCACAATCTCATCATCAGGAACTTCCCAGCCTCAGCACCCACATCTTGTCAATGCCCTCTGCTCCTTGTTGGAGGGAAGAGCCCCATGTAAGGAGGGCGGCCCTGGTCACAGCCAGTCATTTCTATTCTTCTCAGGGGGCTGAGCCAAGTCCCCTCTCCTTTCAGCTCCCTTGTGCATGTTGTCTCCCCCGATAGACTGCAAGCTCCTAGAGAGCAGGGTCTGTTTTTCTTTTTCATATTAGTATCCCCAGCACTTAGCACAGTGCCTGGCACCTAGCAGTCATTTAACAAATGTTTACTGATGTCACACACAAATGGTTAAATAGCAATTTCAGGCTGTATAGAATTAAATGCCAAGTGAGCAATACCAACACAACCTATTGAAATTAAGCAAAAGGAAAGAGCAGCACAGACTGGAGGTTAGGGAAGGCTTCACAAAGAAGTACAGAAATAAAAAAAATAATAGAGAAGTGAAATGAGCCCTACATAATGGGTTGGTTCCAGACAGACACAGAAGAACTGGTAGAACACTCTAAGCAAGTTGAGAAAACTGACCTGCCTGAAGCATAAGGTGTATGTCAGAAGTAAAGTTGGCTAGAGGCCAAATTGTGGAGGGCCTTAAATATGAGGCAGAGTCACACAAAGAAAATTTTGATCTTTACCCTGGGTAAAAGTTTTTCATTTGCACAGAGACTACCACAAGGGCCAGACTGGATCAGGACATCTCAAAGAAACTAGCTGCCCTGAGTTCCCAAGACCTGTGGGGAGGCTCACTGGTTGGCCTTGCTGCAGCAGCTCAGGAGGTTCTGTTTCCTACCATCCCTGGAACTCAATTCAAAGCAAGTTTATAAAACAGGAAATCTGACAGACAAGAAGGGAGGGGTGGTATGATGGGGAACCCTAGTCCCATAAGAATTCTGGGAAAATACAAAGCCAAGGCAGGAAGAAAAAAAAAAAAAGAAAAGAAAAAGAAAAACAAACTTCAGCAAAGCACACACACACACACACACACACACCCCAGACATTGCCCATGTCCAAGCTCCAAAGGCTAGCCCCAGTAGATTCGGAAGCTATGCACTACACTATAGGACAAACACATCCTGATATTGATGGGGATGAGGGGAATGGAAGAAAAAAAAAGATGGGAGTCACTTGGTTTTCACTAGGATCTGCACACCAGAAGCAAAGTCTAATAACAGTAGTACTCTGTTCTATCATACATTAAGCTATAAAGGTAAAAGCAGAAGGCATTAGGTCTTACTATGTTTCTCTTGCTGTATCCTGAAAATGTTAAAATCCAAAAGAATTATTTTCAGTGTCTAGGGAACACTGATCATTAAAAATTCCCAAGTAAAAAATAATTATATATTTATATTAACATTCATACAGTAGTTTGGTTTCTAAGCACATTTGTACCTATTATTCATTCATATTTTGCAGATAGGCAAAGTGAGACACAGAGAGATAAGAGACTTAGAATTAGCCCTTATCTGTCACACCACATTCCAACCACCTTAATGTACTTACCATCTCCCTAATGGGATTTAGCTACTCCTACCAACAGACTCTAGATTCAGAGATGGAAAGAATATTTAAGATCATGGAATCCAAACCCCGTAATTATATAGCTGGACAAACTAAGGCCCAAAGAGGTAAATGGCCTGGCCCAAGACCACAAGAAGAGCCATGATAGAACCGCCTACAGGACAGCATGGCTTGGGCAAAACTTCTACCCCTAGCAGAAAACATATGAACATTTTCATGACTGAGTTCAAGAACTCAATGATGCCCCATGTCTACTGTTCCCTATTTTGTTTTGTTTGTTACCATTAAGTTTCCTTGCTTTGGCTTCCCAGGCCAATGTGCTTACCTGGCTTCTGAATGTAGGGTCTGATCTCAGCTTTGGAGTACTCACCAGGTATGCCCATTCCTAGATTCAACTTTGCCTGAGTTTTCCTGGTTCAAGCATCCCACTCTATCTCTGTGATTCACTCCTGCCCCCAATCCCTAAACAATAAACCAACTTCTGATCTAATATTGTGTCCACTATACCCTACAGCCACCCAACAGTACAGACACTTCTAGCCATGCTGATTGTCCAAGTAACTGGCTCATGCAGCTCCAAGATGGGGGCCAAAAGAAGAGGGTGAATGAGAATGGGAAGCAGAGCAAAAAGCCAAAAACTATCAATCAAAGAGGTGATGCAGAAGAGGTGGGAGCACTATGCTTTAAATTTCTGCTCAGATGCTAAAACCACAAGCTACATTAAAGGCCATGGACGCCCTCCAGCCCAGAGCCCGTATACAACAGCTGGAAGTGCTGTCACCAGTTTAGCCCCCTGCCAGAGATGCCACAGAGGATTCAAAGAACATGAGGAGCAAATCAAGGCTACCTCAGAGAGAAGTAAGTTGCTTTACCGATGTTCAGAGAGATACTCCTTGCTTTCACATTGTCACTGCCTTCTTTTTACAAACAAAAACAAAAACAAAAACAAAAAAACACCTTCATTCTTTTCTCTTCCCTTCCCCCCCCCCCCACCAGACCCAAATATTTATCCCCTTAATTTCAGGAGTCTATCTGGGTCATATCTGCCTTCTAACCCTAGAACTTAAAGAGTTATCCCTCATTCAGAAAAGCTCCAAGGTCCATCAATAATCTTGTAGTATCTTGGTCCATCCCAAAACAATTCTGTTGGAGGAAGGAAAAGGATGCCTCTCCTTACTACCTTGGGCAAGGGTTAAGTTGCCTTACTTCTCTAGGCCTCAGCTTTCCCCATCTGCAAAATGAGGAAAATGGACAAAGCTAGCACTAAAATCCCTTCTAATTCTAAAGCCTATTATCCTAAACTCCCTCTATTCTTCTTAATAATAAAAGCTTCCATTTACATAAGCCTTTAAAGTTTGCAAAGCAATACTTCCACAAAGTCTCACAACAACCCAGTGAGGTAAGAACTATAGCTATTTTTAGTATCTCCTGCCTCTTGGCAGATGAAGAAACTGAGACTTACAGTGGTTAAGTCCAGGGTCACCAAGTTAGGAATGCCAGAGGCAGGATTTGAGACCAGGTCAGTCCTCACTCCAAGCTCAATTTTCTTTCCACTATACTGCCCTGTGTCACTCTCAGACCTGGAGTTGCTCTTCATGAAAAATTATTTTAAAATAACTTTAAAAGGTCAGGAAAAAAGGAGAAGAAATAAAATGGTGGTTTTTAAAAAGGAAAACCTACTCAGTTGTTAAGATCAGATGTGGATTTTCAAGATAAGAGAGGTTATCTTAACAGCAGGGAGAGGAGAACAGAAGTGAGATCCTTTGAATCCCTTGGCTTCCTAGGAGGATCTCCAACCTATGCCCCAGGTTCCCCCTTCTCCCTCTACTGCCCTGAGCTGAGATCAAAGAGAAATTTGCCAAGCAAGTGTAGAAGATGAAGTCAGGACACAGAGTGAGTGAAGGGGTAACACTGTAAGACTGAGTTCCAAACAAACCACCACTACCACCCCACCCCCACGCTCTTACATTTCCAGAAATTGGGTTTCCACCCACCTGTCGATAACGCCTCTCGGAACACACTTTGCAGAGCCCATTGAAGCGATTCATAGCTACAGGTCCCAACTCAGCTGTTGCCCCATGAAAACTCAATTCCCCAAAGCAGTAAGAGTCCTTGTCACCCTGCAGCACGACAGCTTGGACTGAGCCACAGTTAAACTGGCATGACCGCCCATGGGAACCCAGCTCCACAGAAGAATGGCAGGAAATCACCTTTCACCTCCCCAGCCCCTGTCTGAGCTGTATGCCTCTTTACGATAAGCCAGAGAGCTTCCTGAAACCTCTGAACGACAAGGAAGAGAGAGTTTTTATATTAAAATTCCTGTCAACTATTTAGTATTCCCTAGCCCCTGCGCTATTGATGTTGCTTTTGTTCTGGCTGCATTCTTGAGCATGGAGCACTTTGTTATTGCAGTGTTCTCACAAACACTGCCTAGATGGGAAGCCCAGGCAGAAAACACAGTTCTCCTCTATTGCAACTACTTCCCCTCCCTTCAATTTAGTACAGAGGCAGCCCAGGCTGGGATAAGGGGGAAGAGCTGGTTTTGGGGAATCCAAGAATGACCTACAGTTGTTTGTATCATGACATCCCATCCTGTTTGTGTTAAGCACAAAATACAATTGTGCAAAAGGGCTACCCCCCCAAGGGATCCAAAACAAATAATACTATGTGCCTCCCTAACCCCAACATTTCTATTGGTATGAAATTTGCCTAAAATGAACACTGAGAGCAGCTTAGAATGGGAATCAAGACAATAGTCACCAAAGGGCAACACGCAAACTTGAGGGATGGATAAGGAAAGGAGTCGGGAGGTTTATCAGGAAGACATACCCAATGTAGTAGAAAGAACCCTGGGCTTGGAGTAAGGGGAGTTAGGTTCTGCCATAATAAGTGTGTGACTTTAGGCAAACAAATTCACCTATCTAAGCATTAGCTTCTTCATCTGTGCAACCAGACTCTGAACTTCCAAAAAATGTGTGTAATCTTTATAGTACTTACTTCGCAGGGCTGTTGTAAGTATAACACACTGTAAGGTATTACATAAGTAGGAATTCATCCATATGATAACTAACACTAGCTTTTAAGGTCTCTTTTTCCTAGGCCTGACAGAGCTCCAGCTCCCAAGTCCCCAAAGCTGTTTAGATACCACCAGCCCTAGGCAGTCATACCATCAACACAGTTTTCCTAGGGACAATTCTGATGGACCAAAATAAAGGCAAGACAAATGAATCTGGTGGGCTTGCCACTAAAGCCCCAAGTCTTTATCAAGCCAGGGAGAAACTTGATCTATTTCTGTATAATGCACATAAATTTTCAAAGACAATCTCTAGTCATGGCTCATCCTTGTGTTAGGTTAGGATGGAGAAAGGAAAAATTTTTCTGTACAATCCCTCCATCAAAATTGGAGAAAAGGTTTTACGGCCCAGTCCAACTAAACAAAGAATATCTGAGCTACTAAAGACCTGACAAGTCGTTTCTAATATGAGTAAATTTTGCTGCTTGGCATTGGCCCTGATCATCTTTCCCAAAGTTCCCTGAGCACCTTAGCTCTCCTAGTCCTCATCTCATTACCCTAAAGAAATATACCTAAGATGGAGTCTGGGACTGTCATCACAAAGGCAGCAATACTAAGGACTCAAAGGCAAGGAGAAAGTCACTGCATCCTACTGGACTGTTGACCATGCTGGTCACAGGATGCAGAAGGGGCTTTTATGGGTAGAGCAATAGAAAAGTGTGGCTTAGCCTCTGAAGTCCTTGTGCCATGAGTACCTGAATCGTAAAGTCAGTTTTTAAAACTGGATAGGGCTTTAAATATCCTTTCAAATAATAGGCAATTAATAAATGTTTGCTGAATTGGACTATCCTAATCACAGCATCTTAGAATTTAGAGTTGAAAATAACATTACAGATAATGGCAACCCTCTTTTTTACAGAAATGGAAAGTGAGGACCTAAAGAAGGGAAGTCACACAGCCAGTTAGTGGCAAAGCCAAGTTCAGAGTATAAATTCTCTGGCTTTCAGGCCAGAATTCTTTCCACCCCACACCATCATGTCTCTCTGGGAGATACAGGTCATGGCCATCACTGGAAGCCAGAGAGGCAATGGTAGCAGTAGTAACCTAAACCTGTGCCCCTGATTGCAGCTCAAGGAGATGAGGAAGGAATGGCCACCCGAGTGGAATCCTCCCACTTCTGAAACACAAGCACCTCCAAACTGCAAACAGATGTGGTGTCTCCCACCCAGACATAGTCCCAGAGGAACCAAAATGAAAGGAAATTGAGAAAAGGCACAGAGCCAATTCCATTTCCATTAAAACCTGGGGACATGGGCCAGTATTATAATCTACCTAAAGATCCCAATACAAGAAGTCATCAACTTTGTCACTTTTGCTGGCTTTGTCACTAACTAGCTGTGCTCAACCCAAGACAGAAGTAAAAGTCAGATCTTTTAGCTCCCAATCCAAAATGTGTTGGCTGGGACCACTACAAATTTATGTTGTGCAATTTCAACTAAGCCCTAAAGCTACACACCAAATACTTTAATTCTTCCATAAGTGACTCCCTATCTCATTCCCTAAATTGTGTTTCAAACTTTCTCTTCCCTCCTTAAGTCACCTACACCATCCCCAAGCCCTCCCCTCTCAGAAGACTGAATTTAACTTCAAGCTTCACTGAAAAAACTGAAGCCTCCCTCTTCTGCATGCAGGGTAGAAAGGTAGAACTGCAGAGGCTAGCTTGAAGGACAGCTCCTTCTATGTGCTGGAATTCCAGCTGGCCATAGTTAGTCAGCATTGGAAGCTTCAGCACAAATAAGATCCCAATAACTCCTCTCTCTCTTATGCCCAGATTTCTGCCTGAGTATCCGGGGAAAGAGGGCCCAGTTAGAAGGAGTATAAAGAGTTGCTCCTGCTTTCATGCTGCTCTCTGGGTAACACTCCACACAGCCCAGACTGGCTACCCTGGGAGCTTTCAGAGCCAGTTTTGATTGTGCAAAAGGAAGGGAGGGGAGAATAGGCCTTGGATTTGTTTGTCTAGCAAAATTCTACAGTTTCAAATAAATGAGTACAAATGTAGCCAAAGGAAAGCAGCCAAACAGAATTGAATGCTGATAAATCCCCAGCCTTGTTGAGTCTGATTTCCTATTGGAGTCCAGTGTTGTGTGTCTATTCCCCGTCTACATTGATCATTCAAAATCAAGGAGAATTAACCTATATCAGAGGACACAACTCCAAATCCCAGGGCTGCTCCCACCTGAGGGCAGACAGCAGCACCTCTTAACAGAAGAGATATCCAAATCAAAAGAGACAACCTTCTCCTTAGCCTTACATAGCTATAGAACAGTCAGCTCCTTATTCTACTTAAACGGCTCCCCAAAGTTACAAATCAAAATCCCTATTCGTTCAGAATTCTTTGCAGGGAGGAAATAAAGTTTTCAGGACTGGAGCCCAGGCTAAGTTTTTGCATTGAAACTACCCTGTGGGGTATCTCCTTTAGCCTGAGAACAGACTCAAGAGATATGACTGCCAGCCAGATGTGTGTCACATCCAGCTGAGGCACAGGATTGTGGCCAGGCAGACCTGTTCTGGGGCAACACAGAGCCTGGCACCAGCACATACCACGGAAAGGCTAATATGATGTCAAGTTCAGGGCCTGATGTCTCTACTTCTATCCAACCAGTCAGCCTCTAGAACTTGGCTGCAAGAGGCCCAAGGTCTCTGTGAGCTAAAGAAGAGATATCAAGAATCTATGGTTTGTAATACCAATGCCAACACTACAGAATAGAAATCTTTAAGGTAAGAGAAAAAGTTGTATGACCTTGTCCAAGTCATTTAATTTCTCTGGCCTCAGCAGCCTCATCTCTAAAATGAGTATACCAGTCTACCTGAACACAGGATGGTGATTAAACCAAATGATCTTTAAGTCTCCTTACTCTAATATTGCTGAGTGTAAGTTGTGGCTCTCATGTTCTCAGCACCAGTGCATTCACTCTGGGAACAGGACCAAAGAGCAGCAGCACATATCCTAGATCACCCCATTCATCCAAACGGGCAGTGGGTGAGAAGCTGGTCTCTTTATACAGTAGAGAAGAAATATTTATATCTAAAGTGAAAGGTGTTGCTTTCCCTTTTATGACTCCAAATGCACTCATTATTTTTATTATATACTTAGTACTTTATTATAAAGGCTATCCCAAAAGTCTCAGTGCACTTTTAAACTTTAAGAGCTTATAACTGCACCAAGACTTTTGGGACACCCTATATATGATCTTATTCCCACATTGACTTGTGGCTTAATTTCCTACCTAGACTATAAAAGCTCCTGGTAGGCTTATACTTCCTTTGTACTTCTAGTAACATCAAGCACAGTGCTGAGCACAAGCAAAGCCTCACTAATGACCTACTGGTTACTATGCTTCCAATAACATACCGTTCAAGAAAAAGACAGAATTTCTGAAATCCTCCCCAAATCCCCATGTCCCCTAGGTGGGACCATCCAGTCTCAGACCTAGGAACAACAAAATCAGCAGCTGTCAACATCCTAAGACATTACACCAAACTGACCAGTGGAATGATGTGTCACATTCAGCCACTGGATGAAGCAGAGTGTGACTGCAGGGGGAGGGGAGGAAGGGAGGCCATGGTGGGGGGGGGGGTTGGGAAAGGAAGGTTCCCAGGGTCACATAGATCAACAAAACATGGTCCTCCCTCACAAGCTAAGGCTGAGTCTCTCCCCATTCCCTTAGTGTTGAACTAAAGCATTGGCTGAGAGGGAAGAAAGGCTGAATAACGGGAAAAAAGCACTTAGCTCATAGGGAAGGGCTATAGTCAAGTCAAGAAATAATAAGCAACTTAAACTCAGGAAGCTGCTACTTGCTGAGTCACCACCAACTGTGTTGTCCTGTTAAAGTGCTCCTTGGGAAATATGGAAGAATGAAATCACAGCTTCATGGCATTGGAGCTAGAAGGGCACTGAGAAATCATTCAGTCCAAACCTCCCACTTTACAAAGGAGAAAATTGAGGCCCACAGATGATCAGTGAATAGCAAAGCAGGGATTCAAAATCAGCTTCTCTGACTTTCAGAACCACCAAATCACAGACTTACAAGAAGCCACTTAGTCAGGTCTATACCTAAAAAGAAAAACAAATCCCTCGTACAACACAC